ACACAGACACGTGCGCATATACACACACACACATATATATATATATATATATATATATATATATATTAACTAGATATTTTTAATTGATAGCAAATTACTAACAGGAACAAAGGTCAACAAGCATTAAACAAATTTTATTATAATTGTGCTTTCTTGTGTTTCTGACAATCTGAGAGTTTCAAAGAGAAACAAAATAAGGGGGTGTTAATGTTGTTCCAACAAGACACTCCATGGTTTCAAAAGTCTAGGGAACAATTGATTAAACTTGAAAGCAAAAATACTACATTTTTCCATAGTCAATCAATGGTGAGGTGGAAAAGGGATAAAATTCATGGATCATTCTTTCTTTCTGTTGAATGGTGTACAAATGATGTAACTTTACAAAATGAGGTTGTTTGTTTCTTCTAGGGTTTATTTAGAAAGACTGAGGATGTTCAAAAGCTTTTATTTTAATCACCTATACTTATCCTAGAAGAGGAGGAAAGGATGAGGTTTACAGAGCTCTCATGAGGATGAAGTTCCATAACGATCTAGGACATAATGGATTTTGACCCTTAAGTGGTGAAAAGTTTAATTATTTTTATTCAAAAACACGAGAATCTCAATTGTCCCAACGACTTTAGGGCAATAAATTTATGTAATGTTACTTTCGTAAATTGTTTTTCTTTATTTTTTTATCTTTTTTTTTTAGTTATAAAAATCCACTTTCATCTCACTAGTTCCAAAATACATTATTATTTAATTAAAATTATAAAATAAACTATTTAAGATATAATATTTAAATAACCATTATTTTTTATTGGAAAGGTGTAACGATCTGTTAGGTCTCTACACTTTACAATTCAATAATAATACTAGTGGAAAATATAAATCTAATTACTTAGGATTAACATGCAAAGAGTACCTGATATACATGTAGTAATACATAAATGTGTAAGATTTTCATCAATAATTGAGATAATAAAATTAATCATCTGGTGAGACTATAATTATAACTATATAAGTATATAAATACAATAGTTTAGTACTGAAACATAACATATGTTGTTGGTCAAGTAACACTACAAAATAATTATCACAAGACAACACCAAAAAAACTATGTCATCCTCCAACAAGACTCTCTGAACGTGCTCTTTCTCCAACCTATCTCTGTCTTACTCTTATATCAAGTATCATCATAATAATTCAACCATAAGAAAACATGCAAGAATAAACTTATAGAAAATAACATATCAAGTACTAAAGTGAAGTACAACTATATTATCAACATCCACATATCAACTTATAAGATTAACACAACACTCTGATTTGTAAAATGCATTCATGCCAACCCAAGATATATGCCACACCATACAACTCATACATGTATTTTAACTTAAACAACATAACAACATTGGAACTTATAACACAACATACAACTTATCAACACAACAACTTAATGTGTCGTCACACATTTCAATTAAGAGATATTTTACAATACATGTGAACAATCTAAACAACCTGATCCTATTGAAACAACTCAACAATGCAATCTTTTTGGGCTTACTAGATCAATAATAATAAATTTGGATAAAAATTCATAACACAATCGTCACTTAAACTAAGAAAATTCAGTATTCCTTTTAAAGTTAGAACAATTTGAGTGTGAGTCTACCACGACCTTAGCATGCATAACTGAGTCTATTGTGGAATTAGTTCATCGATTACCCTTTAAATATTACGTTCCTTCTAGTACTTATTTAGGGATCATGGCTCCTGACCTCGTACCTTACTTTATTTTTTGTTATTTTATACATGATTACATGTGTGACTCGACTTAGCTTCCATACGAATCTACAATTGGTCGCTTATAATCGGTATAACTTGACTTAACCCTTATATTGCATCAACTAAGGACCCAAAGGAGACTCAAAACTCCACTTCAACGGTCAACTTCTCATGAAGGTTTTTTCAACAACTAGGCTTGCAAAACACCATAACACCATATCCACACAATGTTATATTCATAATTTTTTTAAAAAACAACTACTATCTTTTAATCTCAAGTCAATGAACACAACTCAACACCATACCTTAAGCATTCTTTACACAACTACCTTCAACACTACACAACATGCAATAATTCTACATTTTTAACTCATCAACTTGCATCTTTAAGCAACTTAAATATCAACAACCATCATCCTAGATAAAAAAATTAATGAACTATAAATACAACACATGAGTAATTCAACTTATCACATACATATTTAACACTTAGCCATTAAAATTCTGATGTATTTAATTTGTTTTAGTTATTAAGGTGGAGATGTTTGGTTTACTGTTAAGTTAATGAGTTTACTTTTTTCTCCATTTTGTATGATTTTGTGGATGCTTTATTTGGATTTGTAGTTTTTTTTATAAAAATGTTGAAGATATTTGAATTTATTGTTGATTGTATTTTGAGGTCATATTCCCCGTTTTTGGCATTTGCAATTAGTTTGCAACTACAATTCAATATTTAAACGCATTGAATTTGTGTGAGAGCTTTGTACACTAGGCTGTCCTTGTGCTCTTACTATTTTGTTTCAAGAGTAGGAAACTTAGTGTTTCCAATGAGTGTCTTTAATAAAAGTTTTGTTCCAATGTCTCATTTTATTTTTATAGAAAAATTCTCATTTTAAAAGTGTCAAAGCGTTAATATTTAATGGAAAGATTATTTTTGGATTGGATAATGAGGTGGATTGTAGTCTAATCGGCTGCTATAGATTTTGTCCATTTTCATTTTCTCATTAAAGTAGATGCATGAATAATATAATAATAAAAAAGAAAAATGTGATTACATGAAGGTGGAGATATCAATTAATGAGAGAGAATTTTGGAATACAATAAAATGAAAAGAAAAACAACACATATTAGTAATTGAAAGGTGGTTGTTATTGTTATTATTGGGAATATCAAATGCACGAGAAGAGAACTTGTGTTATTTTTACAAAAATAAAAACTATATTTTATGAAAGTTATAGATAATAATCCGTGGTTTAAATAAAATTAGATGTTTGATTAGATAATATTGAAAGCTCAATACTCTTAACAAATAAGAAACAAAAGATTATCCATAATTCAATGGTTGACACATAGTCAAATCATAATTAATACCAGCGTGTTTAAACAAACATTTAATTACAACATTCTTAATGATATAACTTAGGACAGGAGCATCTTTAAATAAACCAAAAAATCTTCGATTGTTATCTAATTAATCTATAGTGAAGTGATAAAGAAATGAGAATCTGGGAGTTCCAATAATTTAGAAGACTTGGGATTTAAAAAACAAGAAGTTAGAATAAAAGCACATGAATTAAAAATCACTGTTAACGCAAATATTTAATTAGCAGCAAAGAATGTAATAAATTATTTATATTTGATCTATTATATTTATAAAATTAAAAAAATATATAAATGACGAAGGAGTGTTGAAAAAGTGAGTCGCTGGTGTGTAAACACGAATAAATTAAATAAATAAAGAGAAAAAGAAAAAGAAATTGTATTTATTTATATTTATTTTACTTGACATAGTTGAGTTGACAGTGGGTTGAGCAAAGAGAAGAAGGGGGCAGAGTAGGGTTTTAATCTTTACTAATCCGTTTCCCTTGGCAAAACAATCCGAGTGTGAGAGAGAACCTAACGAAACTACAAACCCTTCTTCTTCTTCTTCTTCTCCTTTTTCATTCTCTTTTTTCTTCTCGCAATTTTCCTTGTTACTAACCCTAGCGTTCCTCAATTCTCACTCCCAAACCCTAGCTGCTTCAGCCATGCCTCATTTCCGCTGAATTCGCCACTATGCAGCTGCCATTTCACTTCGCAACAGTGAGGTAAGCCAAGCTACTGTTCATTCCGTTTCGGCATTTCCATGCATCATCGCAATCATCACTGTCACTTTTTCTGTGCTTGTAATTAGGTGCATGCGCGTTGTTTGAGAGGAGGAGGAGGAGGAAGAGGCATGGACCGTGCGCTTCTCCTCGCGTGCGTCATTTGCGGGATCCTCTTCTCGGTTTTAGGTTTGGCTTCGTTCTTCATCCTCTGGACTGTGAACTGGAGGCCCTGGAGAATTTATAGGTATCTCATCCAGATTCTCTGTTGTTGTTGAATCTGTTTACTTATTTGGACTTGGTACTTTGAGCTTGTTGTTTCGAGATTGGATTGTCATGCTAAACTGTAAATGCTGTTGGATTTTTATGCAGTATTGTTTTTTGTTACTTAAATTGGTACT